CACTCAGATTCAACAGTTGGGAATGTCAGGGGCTTAGAACTGAGAGGAGGTGTGAGGTGGGATCACTTGGAGTTGGACTCTGTCCTTGCGTGGAGAGCATCAGAACCGAGCTGGGTTTGAGGACAGCGGCTGGTGTCCACTGCAGAGTAGACTGCTGCTTGCGGGGAGAAAACGCTATGCCTTTTATTGTCACAGAAGTCTTCCATTTTGGTTGCTGATTTTACCGTAAGAGTTCAAGATGTGCAAACAGAATGCCCTCAGGCAAAGAAGCACCTTCAAGGACAAAACTGAACAGGTGGGAAGGGCAAGATAGGGAAAGCATCAGCACAGGGTCAGCACTGAGCCTGTGATTGCCCCCAGCCATGGAAAGAGAAACAGTTGCAAAGGAGAGAAAGCAGCAGTTCCTGGAGAGGAAGCAGCATCTGTCTCCAGTCACCTCAAATGTTTTAGTGAAAAGTACCTCAACCGACCAGGAGCCTCTCTTCCCTTTCTGTCTGCCTGCAGGGGATCTGTCCGATTCCTGGCCCCACGTAGCCTTTGAGAAAATGTAGGACTTTTTTGGAAAAGTCAAGAGAAGCTGGTGCAGCTTTCCACATGGAGAGGGACCACACCCTACACTACTTAATAAAGAATGTCATTTGCAGCTGTTTAGAATAACCTCCCCAGAGGAATCTTCCATTTCTTTCGAGGCTCCACCATCAGCACGGTCTTACATTTACCACAACACCCCGAAATCTCTGGCTTTAGAAATTCTATAGAAATAATGCAAGCGTGTCTAGGGCACAAGAGGGGAAACACCAAAGTCGAAAGTTTCCCTTTATACTCCCTTTCCCCAAGTTTCATGACAGTTTCCTTCTGATCTCCAAATCCTGCAAATCTCTTTTCTATCCAGCCACAGCCCATTTTCAGCTTTCTGATCGTGTCTGCTTGTCAGTGCATGAGTTGTCTAGAACCCACTCTGCATGGCAGAGTTTGGGGTAAGAATCCATTTGTGTTCCTTTCTGGTACAGTGACACTGAACAAATGAGCTGGTAACAGAGGTCAGGAAGAAGCACTATGGGAACACCCACATTTCAGTTCTTACCCGAATCAGAGAGAAGCAGGGACACTGGAAGGGTCGGGGAGACAATCTGGATGGTCACTGCAACACAAGGGCTTGGACCCAGGTGGTGGGAAAGACAATGACACAGAACAACAGATTCTAGGCATTTCAGGCAACACACAGTAGCAGAACGGGGCTGAAGAGTGACTGTCAAAAGCACTCGCATTTAAAAGTCTGTCAAAGTGATCTCAAACATTGTTAATGGCTAACGGAATGAAAGACACCTTCAGGGGTGGCAGACATGCTGTAGGGAGGGAGGGACTGCCACAGGTGGTGAGCCACCAGTGCTCCTGGGAGCCGAACAACGCCCCCTCCCCCTGCTCGAACAACAATAATTCTAGGGAGGGAATCCTGGCAGCAAACTCTTGTCCCAGGCTTTGTATTTACTGTAACTTCTGCCTAGGAATGGCCCTCCCTCCTCCAGCCTTGCCTCTGATTTAGGAAAGGAAGCTGACTGACTTACTAAAAAGGGACAATGCATACTGTGCAATACATAGTTGGCCTTTCTGGAGTACAAATCATAAACTCCTTGAAATCTTGGAAATGGTAGTATGTTAAGAAGTTGACCGAGGGCTGGCAGCTTCTGAAGAGCTTCAAGGTGGGCCTGAAGGGTTAGCTGATCACCATTATCTATGTAGTGAAGTCTCCACAAAAACTCAAAAGCACCGAGTTCAGAGTTTCTGGAAAGCTGAAAATACAGAATCATAGGGGTGGGGTATTTGCTCAATATATCCTTTCCCCTATACCCCTTCTATTGCATATTATCATCAGTATCTGTTGTAATACCATTTTTTGAGCCACTGTGACAATTTAGTGAAAATCTGAGGAGAGAGTATGGGACCCTTCTTAGCTAGAGGTTCAGAATCACAGGTAAAACCACCTGGAGATTGCAGTTGGCACTGAAGGCAGTGCCGGCTTTAGAAACAGTCCTTAACTGGTGGGTTCTGATACCCACCTTCAGGAAACAGTAAGTGACAGAAGCAAGTCAAGTTAGAAACCCCAGTTTGTGTTTACTGCAGAACTGCTGCTGTTGTGTGCAGGGAATCCCCCTCAGTGCGGTCGTGGCCTACGCAGTCACGGTACAGGAGGAACAACTGGGTCCGAGTTAGATTTTTCTACTTTTATGTGCAGCAAGGACTCCAGAACATAAGCTTGGACACACTGGAAGGGATGGAGGAAAAGAAAAGGATGAAGGAAAAGTGAAGTGTGGAGCACAAGAGACTTCTGCTGTCCTCGAATGACAGCCCAGTGGAGCTCTGGAGTTCCAGGGCATTATAAACTGCCCTTGGGCTTGGTCCTCTCACAAGCTCAGACTGGGTGATGTTGCAGGTTTTGTTTCAGAATCACAGAGGGGAATTTCAGGCTCGTCTACAGGGATGACAGGCCTTGTCCTTTAGGACCTGGGAGATGGTTCCTCCTGGATGAGTTATGACCCATGCCATTCCTCTGAGAACATCCAGATGGGAACTTGTCTTCTCGGTATTCATGTCTTTGTTTTTCCCCGATCCATGTCAAGAATTCTATTCACAGACAGCCTCAGATGTAACTAGCTACTCTTTCTTGCCTCATGAAAGCAAAACACCATAATCAAAAGATGAGGCCACCTCACATAGATGTGGAAAGCAATAGAATTTGAGGATGAGCCACTGCTCATTTTCCTTCATGCTACACTGTTTTTAAGTCTTTTCTGCACTGTTTTTAAGTAACTTCTGCCTAGGAATGGCCCTCCCTCCTCCAGCCTTGCTTCTGATTTAGGAAAGGAAGCTGACTAACTTACTAAAAAGGAACAATGCATACTGTGCAATACATAGTTGGCCTTGGGAGAGGGAGTATAATGGGTTGAACCTAGGGCCTCAGATATGCTAGGAAAGTATTCTTCCACTGAGCTAGAGTCCCCAATTCCCTTCACTGTCTTTAACCAGAGAAAACATGTTAAACTAACATAAAGCATGATTTTGCAATTTGAGATTTTCTCCCATTCCTTTTGTATTCCAAAGTGACACTGGATCCTGAGATAAATATTTTTGTTAGCAATAATTTTTAAGTCAAAATGTATAACCAATGTGATAGCATCAAGGTGAATGCCCTCCTCCTTCATGTGGAGGATTTCTGGGTAAGCTAGCTTGGTCCAGACACCCATATTAGCCTTCCAGACCCTCTCACCACTTTCCTCTGCTTCTCTCCCTGTCTGGCTCACTCAGTTGTCAGATCATGTGCACTGATCTCCTCCCTCTCCTTGAGATGTGTTGTGATGGACAGACACACTTGGCTTCCTGCTAGTCTTTGCCTCAGCTCTCTGCATGATAGGTAGCATGGGAAGGACGGAGAAGCTATAGAGTGACTAAGCACATAGTTATGCTATGATTGTTAAGATAGATATGGTTCACCTGTTACCCCAGCACTTAGGAGGCTGAAGTAGGAAGATTTCTGAAAACTCACCACAAGCCTAAACTGTAGAGTGAGTTCCAAGTAGCCTAAGCTATAAAGTAAAACCATTTTTTTTAAAAAAGCTGAGAATTTCCCCTATTGTTTTCTTTTTAAAAAATTTATTTTTTTATATGTATGAGTGGTTTGTCTTCATGCATGTATGTGCATTATCTGTGTGCCTCTGTCCACAGAAGAGGATGTCACAGACCAGAAGAGGATGTCAGATTCTCTCTAGAACTGGAGTTACAACAATTGTCAGCTGCTGAATGGGTCCTGGGAATTGATCCAGGGTCCTCTTTGAGAATAAGAAGCCTTAACCACTGAACCATCTCTCCAGGGCCCCATGTTTTCTTAAAAGTGAAGCCTGAGCTAATTATATGCCTATAACTCTAAGACTGAGCTAAGAGGATTGAAGTTCAAGGCTACGAAAGTAAGATCCTGCTTCAGACAAAAGGGGATAAAAAAAAAAAAAACAACGAAGGGATGGGAGAAGAAAGGAAGAGAATAAGGCTCAAAGGAGGGAGGGAGGAGAGGAAGTGAGAGGAGAGAGGCAGGAAGGGAGGGAGGGAAGAAGGAAAGGAGGAAGGGAGGTAGGGTCAGAATAGGCCTCGCCTGTAGTGGCATAATTGACCGAGCCATGCCTGTGGTTTGCCCTCTCAGCACGTTCAGTGCAGGCCAGAGAGATGGGCCATTTGCTCTAGCCCCCACCTTGCTTTGTGACTACAAGCTTAAGCAAAGACACCTCAAAGTGGCTTCTCTCTTCCTCACCACCTTATCCCCTGCCAGCACCTTGCCCACTCTCCCCAGCAGCCCGCTACACTTCCTGTTCTCCAGGCTTTTGCCCTTTCCTTCCCATGCACACATCTTTGTGTGTAAGAGCCTCGTGGTACTCCATCCAGACAACTTTTCTTTCTAGGCATCTTGGTAGGAGAAATGTCCAGAGTTGTCATGGGAAGAGATGGCCCTTCTAACTGACCCGGGGGGAGGGGAAGGGAATCAAGGCGGCATCAGCCATGGCAGCTTAGGGAAATGCACATGCCAGTCACCCATTCCCTGGAGCCAAACTGAAAGCGGGAGAGGCACTCCAGAATGTTCAGATGCTGAGAACCACCACGTTAGTTAAACTCCAGAAGAGTTGACAGGTGCAAAGGTTGTCCTGGCAGGTTTGGCTGTAACCAAGGTCTCCTCACCGTTGGGTCAATTTATTTCCAAAAGACCTCCCACAGTTAGGAAGATGCGTACAAAGCTGATTTTTTTTTTTTTTCCAGCCGGGTTTTGTTATTGAACAAATAATATTTTTTCAATAACAAAAATAACAAATATTTTAGGCAAATCTAGTAAGCCGGCTACATGCTTCCCAGAGAAGATTCCCAGCGATCTACAGGTGTCCACCCTCTGCTGTGCTTAATCCAACCTTCCCAGCACAAGTTTGCTCTAAGAGTGGTGAGCCTCAGGAAAAGGCAGAGCTTACCTGCGCTCCGGGAGACTCGCGGGGCCAGGCGAGTCCCCGTCACCGGGAGGAAAAGCTGTGGCCTGAGCTCGGCGACGCGCACCGCCCTGCGTCCCCGGGGCCGCCCCTGGATCCCGGGCGGGGACAAAGCCAGCGCCAGCAGCAGCAGTGCGGGCAGCCTGGAGCTGGGCTTAGAGGACCACATGGCCTCGGCGTCCGGAGCGAAGAGCGGCGGGCTGGCTTGGCAGTGGGACGTGGAGACGCGCGAGGCTAGGTCTATGCGCTCCCGGGCGCGGGGCGGGGACCGGAGGCGGGGCGGCGCTGGGGACCCGGAGAACCCAGGACTAGGGCGGGTCAGGGCACAGGACCCTCGGTAGCACACGCCGCCCCCTGGGGACCCTTTTCTAGTCTTCAGGGTGTGGGGAAGAGATGGCGCCAAATCGCGCAGATTCCCTCTGGCTTCATCTCACGTCCTGGTTTGTGGGTCTCTAGGTCATGGCCGTCGCTGGCCCACCGGATCGAAAGAACCCGCAACTTCTAGTTCTGGAAGTGAGAAAGCGGGTTGGCGTTTCTGCTGCCAGAGACCAGAGCTCTTTGGCCACAAGTCCTGCAGCGTCACAGGGCTGGCCAGGTGGGCACACACGCTGCCCCTGAATCTAGAGTTCTCCTCTGTCCAGGAGGTGGCAGAGCTTGGGAGATGAGGAGGGGGTGAGGAAGGGGACGGGAGATCCAAGAATTTGCACTCGGGACAACAGAATCCAAGAATCCCCACACCAGGGCACACCCCGGTCCCTCTGGACAGGCGACCAGAGAGAGACACACATGCTGGAAATTTTAAGTTATGGATTTTTTAAGTTATCACAAAGTTTTGTCGGCCTTAATAGCAAGAATCGGGGCTTTGGAGTCCATTCGTTAAAAATGAGAATTTCCGATAAAGTGGTACTATGTCAGTTACGGTTTGAGCCATTTTGCCTTCCTCTCTTATTGTACTTATATTATTAAGTATATTATATTATACTTATATTAAGTATATATGTCAACATGCCATTGGCTTGATTGCGAACTGTCTTCTCATACCTGAGAGCAGTAGAAGGCTCTGTGGTTTCTTCAAAGAGACTGTTTCTGTCTCAAACTAAGGGAAAAAACAAGCAAACAAACCTCAACTTACTCATACATTTGGTCTAAATGTTATATTTTTAAATATGCCCAGGAAATTGGAGCGGCACAAACCGCTTTTTTAAAAGCCTTATTCCTGCGTTTGACCGATGGTCTTTCAGGGAAGTTGATGCACAAAGTTTTCCACCCAGGATGCTTGAGGAAGCATGAACCTCTGTGTTTCCTAAGCAGACACTAGGCCATCTAAGAATGGCTTCTACTTTCTAGGCAGCCTTAGACAGTCCTTAGAAGAAACTTTCTGACATCTCAAGTGAAACACTGAGACATTACAAGTTCGCAGACATGAACAAGTTCACATTTAAATGTAATTAGCATTAGTCTGGGACACAAGCAGAGGTGGGGGTGAGAGTGGGGACAAGAGTGTGAAAATACAGAAAATACAGAAGTGACAGGCATGCACCCCAGGTCGATGGGAACTTGACAGTTGGTTGGGCTTGTTGCTGGGGTGAGGCAATGTGAGGTAGGCCAAGACTTGCTTTGTCTCAGACTGAACTTTATTCACTTACTTTCCATTTTTACTTACTTTTCTCTCATACACTACATCCCCACTGCAGTCTCCCTTCCCTCTGTTACTTCCAGACCCATCATTTCCCCTCAGAAAAGAGCAGGTTTCCCAGGGATATCATCCAAACATGGCATAACAAGTTACAAACACTTGCATCAAGGCTGGAGGAGGCCATGCAGTAGAGAGAAAAGGGTCCCAAGAGCAGGCAAAGGAGTCAGAGACAGCCACCGCTCCCACAAGCACACCAAGCTACGCAACCATAACACATATGCAGAGGGCCTAGGTCAGACCCATACGGGCTCCCTAATTGTTACTTCAGTCTCTGTGGAGCACTTATGAGCCCTGGTGAGTTGATTCCGTGGGTTTTATTTTAGTGTCCTTAACCCTTTGGCTTCTATAATCCTTCCTCCCTTTTCTTCCAAAGGATTCTACGTGAGCTCCATATAATGTTTAGCTGTGGGTCTCTGAGTCTGCTTGTATCAGTTGCTGGATTAAGCAACACTGTCAAAACCCATCACAAAAATTAAGATATTTTAAAAAGCAGACTTCCACACTTCTTGGCATTCCGTTCTTCTGGAGGGACCTATGGATCTACATTTCAGAGTAGGCAAGGGTAGTTTTAGAGGCAACGGTCTTTCAATTCAACAAAAATTACTTGAAGGCAAGTAAAAGGCCACTGTTGGAGTAAATTTGACAAAAATTCTTGTCTCTGTGAAGCATTAGCTTCATCAGTTTAGCTGCCCAGCATAATGATTTTGTCAGGAATGAGCAGATTGCTCATAGTGAAGTAGCTCTCTGTTTGGGAACTTTTCAATGTGACTTCTTGCTGTCCCCATGGCTGCTATTTGCTACCATGTTGGAGGTTGGTCTGATGCATGTTAGGTTTATTTAGACAGAAAAGAGGAATTGTTGGAGGTTGTGTGTTACTAGCCCTTAAGATCTGGTTATACCTATATTTGCTTTTGAAAACCTACCTAAGAGCTAGTAACACACATCAGACCACTCTCCAACACTACGGATTGCTGGTTTGTTCGAGGACCATGTGAAGTTTCAGTCATAGATATAATTTCACAACAGTTGCTAACTTCCCACCTGTGGAATTCTGTATATAAATAATGAGCTTTCTGTCTAGGAAAGGACACTTAGTGACTGCAGTGGTTTGATCCAGAATGACCCCAGTAGGCCCATATATTTGAATGTTTGGTCCTCAGTAGTGGAAGTATTTGGTGAGGATTAGGAGGTGTGGCCTTGTTGAAGAAGTAAGTCACTAGGGGGGGGTAGATCTGATGTTTTGAAGCCCGCATCAGGCCTAGTCTAGTACTTGCTCTCTCTCTCCTCTCTCTCCCTCCCTCTTCTCTCCCTCTCTCTCTTTTTCTGCCTGCCACTTGTGGATCATGTGAGCTCTCAGATACTGACTGTTCCAACACCGTGCCTGCCCACTGCCATTGTGCTCTCCATTGTGATGATCATGGATTAATCCCCTAAACCTGTAAGATAGTCCTGATTAAATGTTTTCTTTTAAAAGTTGCCTTGGTCATGGTGTCTTATCACAGTAATAGAACAGTAACCAAGACAATAATCATGTGTCAATAATTCTGCCTGCTTCTTTTGTAGGCAGAATTTCACACTGTAGCTCCATCTAACGCCTTAGACAGCGGGTCTCTAAGTCATGGCCTCCCCTGGCCCATGGGATGGAAGAACTTGCAACTTCTAGTTCTGGATGCAAGAAAATGGGGTGGTATAGACTTGAACTCCATAAGTAGATTCGGGTGGCCTTGAAGTCATGGAAATACTCCCATGTCAGAGCCCTGAGTTCTGGAACTGTAGAAATTCACCAACTGCACCCAACTGAATAATTCAAACTTTGAAGCATACATTTAAAAATATGGTTTTTAAGCCTTAGGGCTCAGGGTTAATTCTCTCCTTCTCTTTTCAATAGACTCACACTAAGTAATCCAGGTTATTCTTGAATTTGTAATTCTCTAGCTTTAGCAACATCAGAGCTATGATTTGAAGTGCATACCATCCAAACCAGCTATTTGTTCTCTTTTTAAATTATTTAATTAATAAAACAAGTTACATTCCCCTTCATTCTTGACACCACTGCTTTCTGGGCTGGGCCCTGGTTGACACAACAAGACGAAACACAGAAAATGTCCAAATCATTCATAAATCCCAGACTAGCTATGGTACCTCCCCTAGAAAATGGAGAAGGAAATTGGTGAACTTAGTCAACATAATAAGTGAATTTACACCTTGTGTAGTAAACTCAAGATGAAAAAGAAGGTCTGCGTGGGGCAAACAAAAGTTAGTGGTACCTGAACCACTTTGCTATTGTGCTCACTAGAAAACTGAATGATGTGGAACACAGTAGGATCCTGGGTAACAACTAAAACATACCTAATAAAGCCTTATTTCACATCTCAAATTATGGTCACAAATTTAATACATTGAACTTGACAGGCCAAAAAATTAAAAAATAAAAATTTAAAAAGATATTGAGGAGAAAATGTATTCTTATGTATTTCCCCAGGTTTTTTTTTTTTTCCTTTTCTTTCTACTTTTCTTTTCTGTACTAAAGATGAAACCTAGGGTCTTCTATATGCTAGATGAATATTCCACCTATAAAATACATCCCATCCCCATTCAAAGGTAACATTTAGGTAACCTAAATGTTTTCTACTTTTTAATTTGTATTTATTTTAACTAAATATTTTTTAAAAGATTTATTTATTTATTTATTTATATGAGTGCTCTTATCTGCATGTACACCTGCATTCCAGAAGGGGGCATTAGATCACATTATATATGGTTGTGAGCCACCATGTGGTTGCTGGGAATTGAACTCAGGATCTTTGGAAGAGCAGCCAGTGCTCTTAACCTCTGAGCCATCTCTCTATTTGCAACCTAAATATTCTTAATACTACATTTTCCTTATTGAGAATTTTATACATGTATACATGGAAACATAATCATATTCACTCCCTGTTTCCTGTCTCCACCTTGCCTCAAATCCCACAATAAACCCTCTCAAGCTTCATGTTCTTTTAGTTAAGAACACACTAAATCCAACTAGTCGTGGATGTGTGTGGCTATCCTCTAAAGATTGAGAAGTCTACCAAGGGTTAGGAGAAAGAGAGGTGGGGAAGAGGGAAAGAGATGGGGAAAAGGGAGAGAGGGAGAACTGAATGGCTCTCCCTCCTCTGGTAACTATCAACTTCCAACAGTGCTTTTGTTAGATTGCTTTTGTCCAGGTCACGTGCAGACTACTGTGACTTCATGAGTGTGGTAACCATGCCAAAAGCTTATACTTTGTAGCACTGCTCTCCATCATCTAGCTCTTACATTCTTTCTGCCTCCTCTTCTGTGATAAGCCCTGAGTCCTGGTAGTGGCAGCGGGCAGTGGGCAGTGTTGAGAAAGATGTCTTGGTTATAACTGAGCACTCAGGCTCTTATTCTCAGCAATTTGACCAGTACACATCTCAGCACTGACTGTTATCAACTGCAGAAGCCTCTCTGACTAA